TGGAGACCAGAATGGCTGAATTTGTCATGAGACCAAGCCATTTCTGAAGATGACAGATTTTCCATTCCATGTGTTTTACTGTTTGTTATTACACCCTTTACTACGCTAGCCCTCAGTGTAGGGAGGTGGATATTCACAGGGGATACATGTGTCCTCAGCTGCTCCACATTTAATCCAAATGTCCTTTCCCTAGTAGCATGGACGGTATCCACCACAGTCCACTTATAGAGGAAGGGACAAGCTCTCATCCCTGTTCCTTTGCTAACTCTCCTTCTTTCTGAATTCCTAAGAAAGCAAAGAGCCTTAAAGCTGTCTCCAGTGTAGGTCCTCAGGGCTCGGTACCAGGAACCATGCTTTCCCTCCTAGCTCATCCGCTTCATACAGAGGGATTTTCTCCTCTTTTTGGTAACAGGATCCCTGCCCAGCACCAATTAGGAGTTGACCCATGACTGACACATAAACAAAAAGGACCAGCTGGCCAATCAGAATGCAGTATTAGACATTCAGCACAGCAGCAGACTAGTTTGCTGTGTGATGTTAGACAAATGATTTAAGGCAGCATGTCTGGCAATCAGGCTGTTTCGTTTTCTATACCTCAGTTCACTCCAGTATAGAGTGGGGATGGACGGTCATAGTTCTCCTGCAGTTGTAAGCTGCTTCAGATCCCCCCAGAGGAACCCCACTAAACAAAGGCACACCCAGCTCACTAGCACCCGGGGCAGATTGCAGTCTTCACCGTGGTCACAAGCTGGACACACTGATATCCCAGGGTCTAGCACACCCGGAGTGTGCCTCTGGGCTGCAGACTGTGCTCACACTCTCCAAGTAGGAATAATAATGGAATTTGCACCAATTTTTAGGCTGCTTCCTTACACTCTCATTCTTATCTGGTTTGAATTATTAACCCTCATCTAAGCCCCAGCTGTGTCAAAACAATGGGATTTGCATCCTCTTGTGCACCAAGTACAGTTTGTATACTCCTAACATGCAATGGCATAATTGCCTAGTCCACAATGGGGCATGGAATTCACGTGCCCCCTACAGCAGAGATCCAAAGGCCGAGGTTTTCAGATGTGGTGAGAGATTTAAGGTCACTCTCGTTTTGAAAAGGCCCAGTTTTCAGAGAGGTGGGGGCTCAGCACGCTTTGATTTTGGACATTTTACAACTGAGCTTCGAAAGTAAGATAGTTCCCATCATTACTGAGCTCTGCCCATTTTCAGCCTCTCTGATTGTGTGGTAGTGCTGGGATGATCCTGCCAGGAAGTAGCTGACAAGAGAGACTGATGTCAAGAAATGAGATGGGTGGAAGGTGAACACAATGTGGCTAAGGGGCCTGGGTCTATAGGGAGGTCTAAAAGTAGCCATAGAGAGGGAAGAGAGGAAGCCCTTAAAAAAGAGAGACTGGAGGTGCATGGGGGGAATATGAAGAAATGAACGGGGGACAGCAAAAAATATTTCCATGCATGATCTTGGCATGTGTCACAACAGCAGCAGTTCTGGCTCCAGGTATGTTGCAGGCATCAAGGAGATTAGATGAGTCCTATACTCATTTAATTGATAACACAGTGATCAGAACAAAAAGGGCACCTCTATACTTCAACACAAGATTGATGCTCCAGAGGTCAATCTTCTGGCATTTGATTTAGCTGGTCTAGTATAGACCTGTAAATCAAAGGCTAAGGGCAGCCCCTTCTGGCATCTGGTACTCCTTCTGCAAGGAGTAAGGGAAGCCAATGGGAGCATTTCCTCCTGTTGGCCTCCCACTATGCGGACACCGCCATGGCTCAGCTTAAGGTAAGTTGACTCCAGCTACACATTTTGCATAGCTGAAGTTGCGTACCTTAAGCCGACCTGCCTGGTATAGAATAGACCAGGCCAAAAGGCCCTCCCTTACGTTTCTGCTATCTCCCAGTAAAATGCCTGCTGAAAAACCCGACTTTGTATTTATTAGCAGCCTTTTCATTGATTGTCTATAAATTCTCATCTTAGAAATTGAAAACGTAGGAAACTCTCATATCCAGCTGTCATTGATGCTGAAGGATGAACTGAAAGGAATAGAGGAATTCAGAGAGAGACAGAAGGAGCAACGAAAAAAGGTGAGGCGATAGAAGAATGGCTGGAGCAGATCAGACCAATGGCTGGCTCATTTATTCTGTATGTTGTCTCCAGTTGTGAGCGATGGGCACTTCAGAGCATGATAACCCGCCCTCCCCACCCTACCTCCCCCCAAAGGAAAGCTCTTAGCTAACTCAATACCAGGGGAAAATCTCTGTCTCTCTGATCCCAGCTGGTGATTAAATAATGCCCTGAACTATGAAGACTGAGAGCCCTTGTCACTTTCACTCTTCAGCTAATGTAACTGCAGTTGCTATTCTTATTCCTGTAAGTACTTAATCCCTTTTTAAACTCCTGCTAAGCAGGTTGTTTCAACAGTATCCTGCAAGATCATTGCAACCCGCTGAAACTGAAGCACTAGCACAAGGTTGTGCATTGTGTTGAACTTGCATCCAAGGTAATAAGGTGATGAGCTTGTTAGAAATCTTGGAAAAAAGTTATATTCATCTAGTACTCCCTAGGTGTGTTGTTTTTTTAAAAAATTAATCTATCTGTAGTTAAGCCAGCTACCATTCCCTTTGACCTACCCACATTCAGCAGCCTTTTAACAAAGCATCTGCTAATTGAGTGAGAGTTTTGATTTTTAAACCCTCTCTGGTCCTCTGTGGGAATAAATAAAGGGCTTGGTGGCTTGCCCCACTGAAAGCAATGATGGTTTGTGGCAGCCCTGCAAAATTTCCACATCCCGCTTCCCTTTTAAAAAAGCAAGGCAAATCCATGTAGTTCCCAGTGTACCAACCTCATTGTCTCTGTACCACAAGATAGGTGGGAACTCAGGCCAATGAAGCACTTCAGCGTTTCAGAGTGAGTGGAAACGACCCTGTTTCTGACAGTGCCCTGGTCTGATTCCCACAGCTGCCTCACAACGCATATGTGATTTAGAGTCCAATTGTCACTTACTGGGCACACAACCTCCCCCTCTTGTCACTGAATTTTTAACGTGCTTCAGATTTACAATGGAACCCCATTTTCCTGATCTAATTGGGACCAGGAACAGATTGGATCATCAAAAATTGGAATAATCAGGAGAACTGACAAAGAGCTTTCTAGCCCTTATTTTAAGATGGAAGAAGGAAAAGGAGCTGATGGATAAAACCCCACCTTCCTGGAGCTCATTGTGGGCCATTATGGGTTCATTATGGGCTCATTAGGGAAGGGATTTTAGGGGCTGCAGCTGTATGCTGCAGATCTGTCTAGCAAAAGGGGGAGCTGCAGTTCAGTGCACCCCCCTTGGGCTGGAGCTATTTGTGTGGCTGGTAGGGGCACTTGTCTGCAGTCTCCATGCCTATCACTCCCATTGGCTGGGAATCGTGACCAATGGGAGCAATGTGGGTGGATCCTGCAAGCACAGAGCTGCCCGGTGCCCCCTGTTCCTTTCCTGGGATCTGTGCTAGGTAAGTACCCCAATCCTCTGCCCCTTCCCACCCAGACCCTGCACCCTCAGCCCCCTTGTATCCTACCTCCCCCATACTGCTCCTGCCCAAACCTTACTCCCCCACCCAACTCCTGCACCCTCCTTCCCATCCAGAACCCATACTCCCACCCCACTCTTCATCCTACTTCCTACACAGATCCTGCACCCCCACCTAACTCCTGAACCTTACCTCCTGCCCAGAGCTCACATCCTACCCTGCTCCCTGGCAGCCCCTTCTCATGCACTGAACTCCTCATTTTTCACCCACCCTAGAGCCTAGGAGGCCATAGTCCTAGGCCCCCAGAAGAGTTAATTTCTCCCTGACTGTCAGCCACTGACAGCTGGTGATTCAATTAATATGGAGAACCAGATAATGGAGGCTCAGTTAAACTGGTTTCTAAGCACCTTGTTCAGCTTGTGTATATGGTGGCTAGGGAAGCTAAACTTCAGCATTTAATTTTAATCACAGAAAAATGTAGATTTTTTTTTAAATCAAAGAATTTGGGGGAGGTTGATTATGGAAAACTAAGATTTCTGGTGCTCAGCCCAGGAAATTAGGTGAGAAGAATTACACTATGAAAATTTCATAACCTGAAACAAAGCCAGCTGCAGTCAGATCAAGTTCTGTTAGAAAGTCTATGTCATGGGAAGAGAGTTGTGTCTGGCTGCTGAATAGGAAAAGCTCTTGTTTTAAAGCTCGGAGCTGGGTATTTCAAGCCATGTGAAATTGAAGAAGAGGCTGAGACAATGCAGACTAGCTGATATGCTAATGAGATAGAATATAATCAGCCGACACGTAAAGAGATATGTTCTTCATCACAGAGAATTGGCCCAGGTTTGGAATGGCAAGGTGGGGCACTGACTGGTTTGTTTGCACAAACAGCAACGACTCAAGGTCCTACGGTTCTTGTGCTATTATGGAAAACTATGCTAGCAAAGCTAGTGCACAATGTGACTGGGTGTTGTGCCATATAAGCTTCTTAGGATAAAAGAGAAAATGAAGACACATCCTCTTGGCTATTAATGGAAGCCAGTGAAGCAATATTATCTTGGATTAGTTTTATTGTTGCATCCTGCATCATTTAAAAGGGTGTCAGTTACAAAAGCAACATCAAAACATTTTCTGCATTGGAATGTGGTTCTTAGAAATGGTGCGACAAATGCTCTTCTAATCCTGCCACTAAAAGGAGAAATGCTTAGTCCTGTGTGTTTCTTACAGTACGAGATTGCAATGGATCGTGTGCAAAAGAGCAAGGTGTCCCTTTATAAAAAAACAATGGAGGTAAGTTGTGAGGTTTACTGATACATTCATCCCATCACAAATGATGACTAATTAAAGTGGGAGTGTGAAACTTTCATCTCAGACAGTTCTTTAAAGGAATGTCAATAATGTTATGAAATGAAATAAAGAGAGTGTGTGATGCCAACCAATGAGGTTAAGATATGGAAGCTTGTTTTCCTCTACATCTAGTTAAAGATCTCATACAGCACCTTAAGAGTTAACTTTGAGTTACCTAGCCTTATGTCTGGTTTCAACAGTGTTTAGTCTAAGATTACTTTCCTGGGGTGGCCTACACAGCCTGCAGACCTGAAACTCAAGTGAGTTCCTAGGGGCTAATGCATCACCCCCATCAATGACAATTCGACAGGCCAAGTGCGACCTCAGGGTCACCTGTGCAACTCCAGTGTTATAAAGGATAGCAGAATGTGGCCCAACCCTTGCACTTAGATAGCAGTGATGAAGCATAGGCAGCAAGCTCCTCTGCTGGAGCTGTTAATTCGGGAAGACTAACCCAAGCGAAAAGCAGCATAAATGGTTTTTGTTGCTGAGGTCGGCATTTATGGCACTGGAACAAGCAGACAGAGAAGCTCTGCTGATGAATTATTGCCAGGTCTATTACTAGGAAAATGGCAACATTTTAACCTCCACTCTGATAATGATGCCAGCTTCCATCACCAAAATATGTACTTTGTGTTTTCTCCCATGCTGCCCCTTCCCACAAGGGGCTCCCTGTCAAACCCTAAAACTGACTCCTCATTCTGCTCAGATTCCCTTCTTACAACTCCCCTTTTCATGATACCACAAGAAACCCTTAGTGACAGGCAGCTGGTCTTATGAGGCCACTTCCTGCCACATGGTCTGGTGCTGTTTCCTTAGGCTCTCTCAGGTTTGTTATATACACCTGGTGTTTCTTGTTACTTAACTTGTAAGCTTCTTGGGGAGGGGGAAGGCCTGCCTTTTGTGTGGGCAATTGTATCACACCTAGTCCAATGGAGTTCTGGGCTGCAACAACCAACTGTTTTAAACAGGACATTGCACCTAGTGTGGGCAAAGTAAGTCATGCTTAAAAGATGTGTTAAACTGGTCATGGTCAACGTTGTGGGAAGCCTTGGGAGCCGTTTTTTGGTGATATAAATGTAAATGAATGCCTGAGTGTTAGTCTGTAACTTTTAAAACAATGAGCTGTCCTGTGGCACTTTAGAGACTAATCCAAATATATAGAACCATGAGTTTTCATGGGCAAAACCTACTTCATCAGAAGAATTGGAGTGGAAAATTACAGAAACCAAGAGATATATACAGGCAGTCCCCGGGTTATGTACAAAATAGGGACTGTAGGTTTGTTCTTAAGTTTAATTTGTATGTAAGTCAGAACTGGTACATATTGTAGGGGAAACTCTAGCGAAACATTTCTCCAGAGCTCAGTTTTATTCTCCCACACCTCACTTCCCTCAGTCCTTTATTCTAAAGCTGAGGTGTTTGCTGAGAAAAGCCGCTCCGCGTCTCCCAGGTCTGCTGAGGGGGCGGGGCTAGCTTTGCATCTCCCTGGTCTGCTGGGGGGAAGCAGCTAGTGCGGGGTTGCCTCACCCCGTTTGTAAGTAGGGATCCCATGTAAGTCGGATCCATGTAACCCAGGGACTTAGAAGAAGTACCTATCAGGACCTGTGTTAAAGAAGCTAATGAAATGGGCTGGATAGCTTTTGTTAAAGACAGGAAAAACTGGCTTTGTAATGTGCCAAACAGTATATTTGTTCCGCTTGTTTGCAAAAGAGATCATGTCACAGTGGAGTAGTTATCTAGCCAAAAAAGAAAACATTCTGTTGAATTTGTTTTCATGCAGTCAAAGAAGACCTACGAGCAGAAATGCAAGGATGCGGATGAGGCTGAGCATGTCTTTGAGAGAACAAGTGCTTCAGGCAACCAAAAGCAAACAGAGAAGGTATCTAAGACCACAGTGCTATTCAAGCAATGTTAGCAGACTGCTCTGTAGTTTTTGTAGTTACCGTACAGCAGAATGTAATGGAACAACCCACTTTTGCAACAAAGCTTGCCCATTTCAGAGGCTGCCTTGTGTTCTAATTAACACTGTACATTTTCTAGGAAATTTTCCTCCACATTTAGGTTCTGCCCTTTGAGCAATAAATAGAATTGGAACAAGTTCACAGTTGTCTGTATTTTTAAAGAGCCTGGGAGCCAAGAGCTTCAGTGAAGCAGTTGGTATGGCTTATCATTAGAATGCAAATCCATTTGCTTCCTAAATCCTAAGGGGAAACTTAATAGGTTTTTTTAAGCCTCGAATTATTCCTAAAAATGAAAGAAAACATCTGAAATGCATTAATCAGCTGTTTCTGCCTTTGGGTCCCATGTTAACCAAAGGAGGTACAGTAACTTACATTAAATGCCCTTTTTTTATTAAGCATTCTCCTGGTAGGTCTTTAAATTTGCGAATTCTGATGAAACTAAAAATAGATCATTGAAAAGCAAGGCATTTCAATCCCTCATTACATCATCTTACTTTTTAGCTGACAATCCACTAACCTTTCATGAGAACATTTTACAGTGAAGCAGATGGAGAAAGAAAATTAACTCTCTTTTGCTCCATAAATTGAGTGCAGCAAAAACAGAGAGGATCCAAAATCATTTTTTCTGGGGCAGTGAGAAGAGAAAGAGCAATCTAAAAATGGCATCAGAAATATGCATTTTTCTACAGGTGATGTTCCAAAAATCTTCCACAAGTAATAAATTAATCTATGACAAAACTCCCATTGACTTACACACACACACACACACACACACACATACACCCCCCAGAAGTGACTAAGAAGGAAGATGCTGTGCTCAGTACATGTTTCCAGCCAGCAGCCTTGAAGAGTATGCCTGTTGGAATCACTAATCTGAACACTGCCTTGCAGGACTGACATGCAGAACGTCATACAGACTTTGAGCTTTGTATGTTAACATGTTGTGATCACCAGGCAAACCAGGAAGCGCTCGGATTCAATAGCCTACCTACATTTGAAAGTTTAAAAAGCTGTAATAAAAAGCATTTGCTAGGTTTCCCTGGGGTCATGATGGATGCTCCATCACTGACCATTTTTAAATCAAGCTTGAAAATCCTTCTCTAAGAGATTTGCTCTCAGAATGGTTGGGGGATGTTCTTTGCCTGTGTTATGCAGGCAAGTAGACTAGATCATCACAGTGGGCTCTTCTGATCTTGGAATCATGAATGTGTTATTGGACGCAGCCAGGAAACGTGCGTGTTCACAACAGATTTTAAAAGTCTGGGGCTGTGTCTAGACTGGCATGATTTTGCGCAAAAGCAATCGTTTTTGCGCAAAATCTTGCCACCTGTCTACACTGGCCGTGAGTATTTGTGCAAGAACACTGACTTTGTAATGTACAAAATCAGTGGTTCTTGTGCAAATACTTTGCTGCTCCCACTCAGGGATAAGCCCTCTTGCACAAGTATTCTTGCGCAAGAGGCCAGTGTAGACAGCAACGTGAATTTCTTGCGCAAGAAAGCCCGATGGCTAAAATGGCCATCAGAGCTTTCTTGCGCAAGAGAGCGTCTACACTGGCACTGATGCTTTTGTGCAAAAGCAAATCTTTTATGCAAAGGCACATAGACGCTCTCTTGCGCAAATACTTTTAACGGAAAAACTTTTCCGTTAAAAGTATTTGCGCAAAATCATGCCAGTCTAGACGCAGCCTGACAGTGTTCCTTTAAAAAGCCTGGTTACTTCTCTCTGAATGGAACCCAAGAAACCCGTGATGAGGAATTGCAATTGTCATTTATTTCCATTAAAATTGAACATGCTCACAAATTCTCTATCAATGGGAACAAGTGTGGGACCAGATTCTTCACACACTGCTTTTGTAAAATAAGAAAATGAGGAAACATACAAGAAAATGGGAAGGGCTTAATTTCAGTGTTTTCTTTTTATATTTCAGAGTCAAAACAAAGCCAAACAATGCAAAGATGCAGCAAATGAAGCAGGTATTGGTCTACATACAGTCTTACACCCAGCTGATTTAGTGGTGTACTGTGGAAAGAAAAAACCCACCTATAAAGTGCAGATTCCTAAGGACTCCCAAACTAAACTAATGAAAGTGCTGTTGGGGGACCTGTCTACCACCTTAGACTCCCAGATTTACATTCTACTAAAGACAGATAAATCTGATGCTCATACATATGTTTATATATTGTACAATTTATTTAAAACACTTTAAATAAGTGCTTTCTTTTCTGTTGGTTCTTTTAACATTGTTTGGGTCTTCCATGCAAGGCAGGGATAGTTGCATGATTAAACATGGGCAAGCTAGTATGGCTTTGTTCTCCAGATCCAGCTATGGGTCTACACTCAGGCTACGTCTATACTACAAGTTTTCTTAGTAAAAAATATGCTAACGAGGGACTCATTTGCATGAGTCGCGATCTCATTTGTGTATTTTCTGCCGATCCGTTTTTGCCCTAGGGATTTTTGCGCAAAAATAAGTAGTGTGGACATTTCCAAAAGGGTGTTTTGTGCAAAAAGGAAACGTCCACACTGCTTGTTTTTATGGATCTTGCAGAAAAAGGAAGTTTTGTGCAAAAAGGAAACGTCCACGCTGCTTGTTTTTGCACAAAAACCCCCAGCACAAAAATGGATTGGCAGAAAATACGCAAATGAGATCGCAACTCATGCAAATGAGTCCCTCGTTAGCATATTTTTTGTCGAGAAAACTCGTAGTGTAGCCTTAGAGTACATCTGTAGGAGGTGGCCATGTGCTAGCTCAGCCTACAAACAGAAGTGTAACCGCAGCGGCACAAGTGGTGGCTCATACCCAAGGGGTTGGGTGGGATCGAACTTGGACAGCTAGCCTGACGGGCTGCCTGTTGCCCCTTACCATGATCTTTAGCATGCTAAATCAAGTCATATCTCCCAGCTGCCATGTATACACAGCCTCATGATCAGAAACAGGAAACTCACGTGCTCTGTGACTGAAGGGGAGCATTCCACCCTGGACCCTCACGAAAGGCTCCTCTGCCAGTGGGGTACTTGTGTGTCGTGCCTTATGCACCTGGTGCACTTCAGATAATGCAGTTCCACAGTATCAATCATGATTAACGATCCAAAGGCTGCTATCAACAGTTTCATTGTCCATCTGAGATGTTTGTGGTCAACTTGCAAACAAGTCAGAGAGATCATTCTCGCCAGTAAAAATAGCATGAGCTAATTCAGTCATCTTTCTGCATAATCCGGTTCTACTGTACTATAATCTGTAGAATGTATCTTAGGGCTATGTTCTGCCAAAGTAAAACCTCACCATACCTAGCAAGAGGAAATGTGGGGCGCTGCATTATTCTGTGTCGGTAGGGAAGTTTCTATTTCATGTCTCTGTTTCCAGAGAGGGTGTACAAGCAGTATATTGAACAGCTGGATAAGGCCCGAATAGAGTGGGAAAAGGAACATATCAGCACCTGTGAGGTAACTATTTTGACCTTTATAATCATTTGTGCATTTTTTTTTTTTACTCCACTCACATGTCCCAGTCCCAGATATACTGTTACCACTGAAGGATCTGATAGGAACTTTTGATGGTCTATGCTTATTAGACCAAAAGTGCACCTGCCATAAATATGGATTTAACGTTCAGCTGTTAACATTCTGACTTGCTTATTCTCCTCTTGCTTGCAAATTAAATTTAGGTGGCCAGATTCTGAGCCATACTTACAGCCAATTTCCACCAGCTGAGGATCTAACCCAGGTTGGAATACAAGATCCTGCTAGTTTTAGAGATGCTTTATTTAAATCAAAGCCAAGTTAAATCTATATCCCAAGCAACCCATTAGAAGCACCCATTTACAAAGTGCTCGAACACTGTTTTAACTCTGGGGGCCTCCAGTCCTTCTTAGCCCACAGAGAATCTGTTTGACTGCTTTTAATATACTTGCCAGGTATTTTTAACATCATCCCTGCCTCCCTGTAACTTGGTTTCTGGAATTGTCCCATAGCTGGCATGGCAACCATTCCACAGAAATTATTCAAAAAATCTGAAGTTTCCACTAGGATTCACATTTTCCTCCTCCCCCACCCCTACCCTTTCTATCACAGCTATGCACACCCCAGACTGGAAGTGCGCTTCAGAACCCATAGCCTGCCCACTGCAGTTAATATAGATTTATCACTCTTCAGTGAATGGCAGTCATGTACCCCTTCTTCTAGAAGTGCTTGTGGGTAAATCCAAACCACTCCACTTCTAATGCAGTTCTAAACTATGTATAGAGATTGTATATAAAAACCAGCATCTCACCATGTGCATATTCAGTTGGCATGTCAAGTTCATCATCTACAACATAATAAATAGTGTCTGTTCTAATGACCTGACACACTTGTGAGCAATAGAATAGTTGTTATGCACGGCAAATGGTTTCTTATTTGCAGCTCTTAGCAGTAACCGATTCAACAGTGCTTAACTTTAGCCATATGCTTAAGTACTTTTGAGTTGCTGCTCCATATGAAGTACCCTCTCCCATCTCTTTCAATCTCTCTTTAAAAGCTATTTTTCCCAAGCATGCTTCCTACCCTTTTCTTTTTACCAGCTGATTTTTTCACACCCTTCCTCAATTGTTGTACTATGCCTTATCTCTTACATTATGAGATCTTTAGAGGGCAGGGAATATATCTTAGTATTTTATTAAACATTATATGTACATTTATGGTGGTATGGACACAAATAGTAATGAAAGAAGAGGGGAGCAGATGGCTAGAAGAGTTTGAGCTTGCTGCACCTTATGGAAAACTAACACATGCATTCTCTTTAGAAGAACAATTCAGCTTGGAGATCAGTTTTATTTCTGATTTTGTTGTTAACATTTATTTTAAAGATGTTCACCTGCTCACTTCTCCTCCTGAATTCACACGGGAAGCCCTCTCCCTGAAGGATTTATTACTTCAAGAAGAGGAAGAAAGGAGCAAGTGAACTCTGAAGAAACAAAAGCTCTGTTCTGCTATGCAAACAGTCTTAGAAATAAATGAAGAAACAATGCATGAATCCAACAAGTTCTACATACAGGCTATGTCTACACTGCAGATTTTTTGCACAAGAACTGTTTTGCACAAGAGTTCTTGCGCAAAAGGTATTGCGCAACAGTGCGTCCACACTGCCATGTGCTTTTGCGCAAGAGCGTCCATGGCAGTGTAGACATTCTCTTGCGCAAGAAAGCTCTGATGGCCATTTTAGCCATAGGAGTTTCTTGTGCAAGAAACCCCTGTTGCCCATCCACACTGCCTTCTTGCACAAGAGCTCTTGCACAAGAGGGCTTATTCCTTATGGGGAAAGGAATAATTCTTGCACAGGAAGCCCTCTGGTCTGATGCCTTACTGTAAATTTACTTGTGCAAGAACACACGTGAAGTGTAGATGCTCTGCAAGTTTTTGCGCAAGAACGCCTGTTCTTGTGCAAAAAGCCAGCAGCATAGACATAGCCACAGTGTTTTTCCAAAGCTTTCCATTAGAGGATTACCTGTATTATAAATGCAAAAAGCTTGTCCCCTCATCTTGTTACAACAGGATTCTGGGTTCTAAATCCTTGGGATTATTTGCTATTCAAATCAGTGCCAGCCTCATCTCCTTTCTCCTCCTCTAATTTTTTGTCTGGGAAAAATGTTGTTAAAAGTTGTTTTAAAGCTCCTTGAAGCTGGTGAGTGTAATACTTAACACTCAACATCCTGTGTGAAATTTCAGAAGTCTCCAAAACAAAGTACAGGTACATGATACCACTCAAATCAAAGGCACAGGTAAGAGTACTCAGGAATTTGAGCTATGTGGTTGGGAGTGGGGTTCCTGAGTATTGTTTTGGGTAAGGAGACAGAGAGACAGGCAAGAAAGTACAGAAACACCATGAGGCTAGGGTGAGTCTACACTAATGCTGCAATGTGATCTAAGATGCTAGTTCACTTACATAAGTTACGTAACTATTCAAAATAACTTTCTTACAGAACTCTACATGGCACTATGTTGGCAGGAGATGCTCTTCCGTCTACATAACTTCTGCCTCTCGGGGAGGTGGAGAACAGATGTTCCGGGAGAGCATTCTCCCATTGATGTAGCATGTCTTTACCAGACTCGCTAAATCGACACTGCTGCATTGATCATAACACTGTTGGTTTAGCTGATAGTGTAAATATGGCCCTTGTCTACACTGCAAAATGTTGCTGGTACAGGAATGCACCTGAAAGCCACTGAGTGCTCTCACCTATGAGAGTGCTTCTGTCTGCTTTGCTCGTGCCACACGGGGAGGAGATGGGTATAGCCAGGATAGCTACGCCAGCAAAGCGTGAGTCGTACTGACAAGCCCAGAGAAGGGGCAGAAAGCCAAACACAATCTAATCAAGCACACTATGTGTGGTTATGGACAAAGACTGGAGAGGGGCCTTTTGGGCTGAGGGCTAGCTAAAAGAGGCTTGGAGCAAGGATATCATCTCCCGTTTGGTTCCACTTGTGTTCAGGGAAACAGGACTTTGTACATTATTTCTAAGTAAATGTGATTGCATCAAAGGGTCTCTAACACCATCATCGATTTCTTCTTCCCAATTGCCCTGAATATTTAGCTAGATGCTTGAGTCAAATGGGGTAACAATATCTTAACTTAGTGAAATGTTGTATTGGGCTCATTTCTGTTGGTGAAAGAGACAAACATCTAAGCTTACACAGAACTCCTCTTTACTCGTGAGAAAGCTACTCAGAGTGAAATTAGAGAGATCAGTAAAAACCTAACATCTTCCATTTGCAATTTGAGTGACTATTTTTGTGATCAGTTTGTGTGATTTATTTTTAAGATCATCTTCTGTAGTGCATCCTGACTGAGCATGGTTCAGAATGGTCTGCAGGCACACAAACATTGCACAGGGTTTGCTTCTAGGTGCTGTTGCGTTACACATCTCTCTTTATATATAAACAAATATTCCTACAGGATGACAGAGTGACATCATCACATCACTCTGTGTCTCCTCCCCTAGCCTCCATGGACTCAGAAGGGGAGGCGGCAGCCATGGATTGGGGTCCCCCTGATTCCTTCTCGGGGGGCACCCTGGGCTTCTCACTGGCCCTCTGCTCTCCTGCAGGAGGGTCAGGGGCAGTGGTGGCAGTCACCTCTGGCCCCACTTCTACCTCCATTCCCTGCTAAATTAGAGCACCAGTGCTGGCTGCCTGCGGGGAGAGGCAGAGGAGAAAGCCTCGAAGCGCCGCACCACAACCAGTTTGCAAGGAAGCGCGAGCGCTGCTGTGGGGAGGGCAGCAGCACGTACGCACTTCCCTGCAAGCTAGATCTGGTGCAGAGCTTCAGGGCTTTTGGTGGGGGTGAGGAAGCCAGTGCTGGTGCTCTAATCTTGAGGGAGGGGAGGCCACAGGGCTGCAACACCAGGCAGGTGAGGCAGGCAGCAGCCCCAGTGCTTGGCCTGAGGCAGACGGTGGCTTCCCCATTGGAGCAGTGGGGAAAGCCTCCATGCCTGGGAGCATGAAAAGAAGTAAGTCCCCCGCCATGCCCAGACCCTGCACTCTCAGCGCCTCACTCTCCCCTCCCCTGCCTCACCCCCAGCCCACTCCTGCCTCATTCCCCCGGCCAAACACCCTGTCCCCTGCCTTCTCCTGCACCCCACCCCCGGCCAGACACCCTGTCCAGTTGGAGCCCAGCACTCATCTGGCTGCAGCGTCCTGTCCTGGCCAGGCTATGTGGTCCAGCCCCCATCTGGCTGCAGAAAGGGCTGGTGGCAGCCCCCCTCCTGCTGCAGCACAGGTAGGAGGGAAGGCCATGATCCAGCTGCGGAAGACAGAGAGGGGATTGGCAAGCATAGCAAGCAGGGGGCACAGCTTCCTAGTAATAATACTTAGTATGAAGTTTGACATCTCTTCCTTTGGATTTAGGCCTTTCAGCTCCAGGAATGTGACCGTATCACCATCCTCCGGAACTCCCTTTGGGTTCACTGTAACCAGCTGTCCATGCAGTGTGTGAAGGATGATGAGGTACGAGCTTTTACCCAAGGAATCCCAATTCTCATGTATGGAGACACACGTGTCCTCTAAAGCCACCATACCAGCTGCCCCCGTCTTTACTCACCAAATGCCTCCAACAGTGGTGATGATGTCCATCTCACCACACTTAGGCAGGGCAAACCATGGCCAGGTTTGCCCTCCGCACTCAATTAAAAATGAATTTTGAGAATCAGGGTTTCTATAGCAAACCTGGTTCCGGTAACCTTCTGCTCCCTCTCCATACTATGGGGTAGAATCTCAAACCTCCAGGTCAGCTTTAAATAAGGATTTCTTATTATTATTCCTTTTTTACAGGAAAAAATTGATTATTTTGTGAGCATATCTCCTGGAATTTTTTCTACATTATACACTTTTCCTAAGAGGCTATGTCTAGACTGGCATGATTTTCCGGAAATGCTTTTAACGGAAAAGTTTTCTGTTAAAAGCATTTTCGGAAAAGAGCATCTAGATTGGCATGGACGCTTTTCCGCAAAAGCACTTTTTGCGGAAAAGCGTCCGTGGCCAATCTAGACGCGCTTTTCCGCAAAAAAGCCCCCATCACCATTTTCGCGATCAGGGCTTTTTTGCGGAAAAGAAATCTCTGCTGTCTACACTGGCCCTTTTGCGCAAAAGTCTTTCAGAAAAAGACATTTGCCCAAATGGGAGCAGAATAGTATTTCCACAAAAACCACTGATTTCTTACAGTAGGAAGTCAGTGCTTTTGCGGAAATTCAAGCGGCCAGTGTAGACAGCTGCAAGTTTTTCCGGAAAAGTGGCTGATTTTCCAGAAAAACTGGCCAGTCTAGTCATAGCCAGAGTGTATGTGTGTGGGAAAAATCCGTAATCTTTTCCCCCCCCCCATGCGGATGCACTCCTACAGAGGTTTGCACAGATGCAGAGCTCTTCTGACTTCAGTGGGGTGGGGGGAGGGACTGGTTCTCTGTACAGGGCCTGGGTCTCCTAGCACGGAGCCAAAAAAGTGTTCAGAGATGCCCTTGGCAATAATAGATTTAAAGGCCGGAAGAGACTGTGAGATCATCTAGTCTAACCCCTTTCTAACAGGCACGGTTACCTCTGTACTTAGTCAACACAAGTTACTGAGCTCAAGCCTTCCTTATAGAAAGGCCACCGGTCTTGATTTGGAGACTTCAGGAGATGGAGATTCCACCACTTCCTTTGGTGATTTGTTCTAAAATTCTGTATCTTCTTTCTAGTTTTAGTTTGTCTGGCTTTAACTTCCGGTCACTGGTTCTTGTGGTGCCTTTTTCCAGTGGATTCAAAGAACACTTCAGTACCAGCTTTTGAAGGTGTTAAAACTGGATTCCTCCAACAGGAGGGGAAGGGCTGAGGGCAGGCAGTCCTTAGTGCGGCCTGCAGAGCAAAGCTGGGCCCCTCCCTCTAGACCACAAAGCCACATGAGCGCCCAGCACGGTGCTCCAGCGCTGCCATGGTGGTGATTGGGAGCTCTGGGCCCCTTTGAAATACTGGGCCCCAAAGCAATTCCCCCTTGGGCTCTATGTTAGAGGCCTGCTCATACTCTAAGGTAAAAATAACAGGTAAAAAATGTGTTTACATCCACAACGTGATTAAAGCAGACGGTGTCCTTTAAAGACAAAGAGAAATTCTAGTGGAAGATTCGGTTTTAAGAGCTCGTCACTAAACGCTGGAAGTTAAAATCATTCTATTTTGTTTTGTAGATGTATGAAGAGGTTCGGCTGAGTTTGGAGAACTGTAACGTAGAAGCAGACATAAATTACTTCATTCAGAATAAAACGACAGGAAAAGATCCACCAGGTAATTAACCTCAGCAGCTGTTTTGGCCTTGTTGCCAATTAGAATCCATATGACAGAAATGCTCCCTCTCCAACTGTAGCCTTGGAAAAAAACACATATCTGATCCTTATTTTCTCCACTCTGTCAAATGGGGATAATACGCATAGGCCTCAAGTAAAAGTAAGCAGCTTAAATAGCTGATGTTCGTAGAAGGTTTCAAACAGGTACGTTGCTAGATCTGACCATCAATCCAGTTGGGAAGGTTCTCTTAGTTGAAGGCATCCAGAACATAGAAACAGTGCGATAGCTCGGGGGGCTGACCACCAGCACCCAAGAGAGAGTCTTGCCACGGAGCTCAACTGAACTGATAGCAGTTGTAAAATGGAACAATTCTGCACTCTGACTTGTTCTTCAGCCTCTGGCTGGGAGAGCAACCACCCTGAAAGGGGTTCTAGGAATGTATTCGCAGCAGAAAGAGTTCTAGGCCACTTCATGTTTCATACACACAAAACACAAACAAACAGCTGTTTCCTTTGACATTCAGTGAAAATGTCAGGGAGGAGTGTGATTTTTTCACCAATATGCAGTTATATTGGTCCCCAGAGTAAATGCAGTTATAGCCATATAAAGTAGAGCTTCAGAGTCAGGAACACCCTTACTCTGCTCCCACATCGCCTCTTCCCCGTTATTCCCCCCAACACTGGGAGCTAGCAGGACTCTGGCACTGGCAGCAGAGGTCTGCCCCCTGCACTCACCAGCAGCACTGGTGGCTGAGGAAGCAGAGTGATGCTGCTGCAGCCCACTCCGCTCCCCCAGCTGGCAGCCATGTGGCTCCGCTTCCCTCTCGTGAGTGTGGTGGGGGGGCAGGCCCCCTTTCCTCCCAGTAACATGGCTGGGAGCACGGGCAGTGGAGCTGTGTTGCTCTGCATCCCCCTGGCCACTGCTGATGAACACAGAGAAGGCCCCTGCCAGTCCCCAGAGCCATTCAAAGACTTTGGCCTCCTTCCCTCTTCTGCCCAAAAAATGTGGGGTGGGGTCGCATGTCCCATCAGAAGGAGAAAACACTTCATTCTGGTGGGGGAGTGGCACTATTCGTGAAAGAAAATGTAGAAGCAAGTGAAGTAAAAATCTTAAATGAGCCAAAATATTCCATAGAATCTCAATGGGTAGTAATTCCATGCTCCAGTAATAAGAATATATCAGGAGGGATATATTATCGACCACCTGTTCAGGACAGTGATAGTGTGTGAAATGCTAAGGGAGATTAGAGAGGCTATCAAAATAAAAAACTAAATAATAGTGAGGGATTTCAATTATCCCTTCAGGGTACACATCACCTCAGGACAGGATGCAGAGATATAATTTCTTGATTCCTTAAATGACTGCTTCTTGGAGCAGCTGGTTCTGGAACCCACAAGGGGAGAGGCTATTCTTGATTTAGGCCTAAGTGGAGCGTAGGATCTGGACCAAGAGGTAAATATAACTGGACTGCTTGGAAATAGTCACCATAAAATTTAACATCCCTGTAATGGGAAAAACTCCTCAGCAACCCAACACTGTGGCATTTAATTTCAGAAAGTGGAACTACACAAAAATGAGGTGGTTAGTTATACAAAAATTAAAGGGTACAGTGACAAAAGTAAAATCTCTGCAAGCTGCATGGAAACTTTTCAAAGACACCAGAATAGTGGCCCAACATAAATGTATACCTCAAATTAAAAAACACAGTAAGAGAACCAAAAAGGTGCCACCGTTGCTTAACAACCAAGTAAAAGAAGCAGTGACAGATAAAAAGACATCTTTTTAAAAGCAGAAGGCAAATCCTAGTGAATGGATACTATCTCACATTTAAGCAAGGGCTTCTGTGCTTTTTCCTCTTTCCTCATCTTTTGAAAGAACTCCCTCCTCCCCATCCGCACACACCTTTTTCTGAAAGAGCTCTTTCTGAAAAAGGCTTCTTCCTCATCTAAAGAGGTTTACCAATGTTAGAAAAACCCCTCTGTTATTTCAGTTTTCTTTTGAAAAAATGTGATTGCAGTGTGGACCTAACTGGAGGTTTTTTCGGAAAAATGGCCGTTTTTCAAAAAAACTCTGCAGTGTAGACATACCCTCAGTATGAATGCTACTCTTTGCCCTCAGTTGTGGTGAGTTAGCTCTCAGCATAGATCATGGCAAGTTTCTAGCTTGCAAGCTGTAGTGTTTTAAAGTGTAGAAGACGGAGCCAACCAAATGCATTATGCTATCTAAGAGCACTCCAGGTAACCTCACCACAGAGACAAGGACTTCTCTATGAAAAAGAAACATTTTTTCTTCAAACTATTACTCTGAGGTGAGTTGTGGGAGTAAAGTCTTGTGAGGTAACAGTTTACTGGGGTGATACCTTCAATACAGTCCAGGGACACCCTAATTACTGACCACACCTTGAAATGTTCTTAGTTTGAGCCCTCACTAGGCCGATAGTGGATAGTGAGGAGGAATTAATACATATTTATGGGTTAACAGTAAATTTTCTCTCTCCCTCTTTGGAGATGAGAGAGGTAGGCTGATATTTATGTACAAATGAAAACCAGTACATACCTACATCGCAGGGCCAAGAAATTCCCCAGTTGTGGTCAGAATTGCTGAAGCTCTGCTCAGCATCAAAAATGCAGAAGAGCTGACTGAGTCCTCATCCCCAGTTAGTAGCTGAGTTTTGGTTCTTTAAGGTGCTATGGGATGACAAAGATGGCACAAATCCTATTATTGAGGCAGCTGCCTTTTTTATTAGAATTTGACCATAGCTATTGAAATGGTGCTGAATGTAGTGTGTGTGTGTCTATACTTACAGCCAAATGGTATTAAGCCTGAGCTCAGCAGTATCCATTACTGATATCTGTCATTAGTGGTTTTCCTCGTGTAGATGAGCTCATGTGTCTGTGAGGGCTGCACCTGTGTCTTAAAGAGGAAGTTGGTTTCACTGCAGACTTCCACTGGCCACTCTTCCTCTAGAAGACTCTAAACACCGTGCTCTAGAAAAAACCAATTGCATTGCTGGTGCAGGGGGGAAATGGATACACTCTGCCTGTTTACACCTTTGTGTTTTACATTATCACATTGTAGTTCCAATAGGATATGAGAATTATTATGCAAAAGAATCTCCTAGATGTAGCAACAGTCCAACCCAGTCTTGTGGGATGATGAAAAGGTGAGTATCCAATTTTGATTGCTTGTAGAAATGCTTTTATGTGTAGCAGGCTATATCTGGTTTGTCATCTGCATGTGTGTAATCAGGATTTTGAGAGTAATTGCGGCCTTGATTGTGGTGAATGACAGATGTGATATGCATTCATATCATATCTATAGACCAATAAATAAGTTGTAAAGGAGAACAAGATTCACATTGTTATTAGCAGGAAGGGAGAGGAAAGGACAAATTTAAAAGACACTCAGGTGTGGCACACAAATGTGCTTTTTGAGAAAGGGGACTCAGTTCTCATTTCTAGCAATACCTTTTGTGCTAAACCATAGTGCACTGCCAGGCAAAGGATTAGCAAATAGCTTTAAGCCTGGTGTGCTCTTAAAAGTTTCAGTGGTATAGTCTTGTTAATTAGGGACTGGCATTATATAGGAATATTTATACTGATGAAACTTCCAGTGTGGACCCAGTTGTATTGGAAGAAGAGTGCTTACACTAGTACAGTTTATGCTGGTTGTGGAAATATCCAGGAAGAAAAATATAGTTTGCTATATTTTAAAACTGATTGTTTTTTGACAAGTGTATCACGTTCTACAACATTTCAAAAACCAGCATGTTCTATTTTCAAATTAATTATCATAAGGAGGAAAGGGGGAGGGGAAAGGAAGAGACATCATCCCCCTTGCAGTTAACCAGTCAATAGATCCATCATGTTGTCATGCTGGAGCAGTTTAAACTTTCCTTCATGTGTCTTTGGATCTTGTCTTGTCCACAAGTCGAAACTAACACAATAATAAATGTATAATATAAGAATATGCTTTATTTTGTGTGCACTTTAGTGACTGGTAAACTTGAAATGATTTGCTAGCTTATCAGGCTTTGTTTTAAATGAAAATAATTGTGTCTGTTGCTCTCATGCAAAACAAAAATAAATTTCCAAGAGAAAACACTTGGCCAAAGGAGTTGGTTGCAAATGGGAAGAAGATTATACAGCAGGAGGTTAGAACTCAGGAAGTTTGAGGAATCTATCATGTATGTCCCAACACTGGCTTCTGTTGTTTCCACAGATTCTCTGGATTGTTGCATGGAAATAGCAAAAACTCCAGTGAAGTAGTCATTCCCACTGCCCCTCCAATTGGTAAGTTTTTACCCAACGTGTCTGGTCTTATTAATCATTTGTGTGCTTGCTGCATGGAGAGTAAACTATTAATATGATACTAATGTGTTAGCTATGAGACTATAATCTAGACACCACTACACAGCACAATCATGAGGCAAGCAATTATCCTCACCATGGAGACTAATATGAGCTGTACTGTTCCTAAACCTCCCTCTGGATGTGTGAGGTTTATATTCTGACTGAGATCCCCAGGTCCAGAAACAGTTTTTTCTCAGCTTAGGTAGAGCACAGGGAATCCTTCCAACCCTTCCATTGGCCCAGTCCAGTGTCCTCAAATGTTTTGTTGCATCAAATCCCATGTAATTGGTGTCACTCTCATTAGGGGGCACTAAAGCACAATATTTTAACAGCACAATAAACACTGTTTTGTAACATTTTTATTGGGTCAATTTAAACAAGCCAAGGAGATGTAAACTGTGATTTTCCCCTCATTAAAAAAATGCTGTTGGAACCAGTTTCCTTCATCACATCTGCCCCCCAGAAGTGGATGGAATACCATCTCTCCTAAATTCCTTCTTGACTCCCTCAGCTGTGGGAATTTTCAATGCAATCCATACTGGCTAGATATGCAAAGTCTGGGATTTTAAAAGTGTGTAGATGTTGCTCTGCTCAGAGTTGCAGTGCCTAGCTGATTTAAAAAGTGTTAGTCTGTAACTTTAAAAACGAGTAGTTCTGTGGCACCAAAGAGACTAACAAAAATATGTAGAGTTTCATAAACTTTCATGGGCAAACTGATTTAGGAGTCTCAGTCTCATTTTCAAGTGTGAAATAGGCATTTAGGAGACTTTCAGTGAGACTTAGGGTACATCTACACTGCAACACTATTTTGAAATAACTAGAGCTATTCTGAAATAACTTAGTCCGTGTCTACACAGCAGGCAGTTATTTCAAAATAGTGTCGAAACACTGTCAAGCTGGAGGACTTTACACTCTGACTCCTGTAACCCTCATCATATGAGGCATAAGGGAAGTCGGAGGAAGAGTGCTCTATTTCAAAATAAGTGCTGTGTAGATGCTCCCTATTTCAAAATAAGATACGCAATTGACATAGCTCAATTTGCGTAGCTTATTTTGAGTTAAACCCTGTAGTGTAGACGCACCCTTAGTCTCCTTTAAGAGTGTAAGCCCAAGTGCCTTCCATTTCTAACAAATTCGGTGGTGTACTTGTGAGTGCAACTTGAATGGGAGCTGAAGGAATTTGGTGCCTCCCAGAACTGGATCCTACAAACATTTAATGCCTCCCCGATCTGTTCACAGCTGTTTGGGCATCTGCATTGCATTAATTTCTCCTTTATGCCAATTTAGATCATTCTTTTTATCCAGGCCACTATCGGATAATTATCATCATCATAATCAGTTATATGGTAGTAAAGGCTGACATCACAAAGGGAGGATTGTGACTTTATTGAAGGATCAGAGCAGGCTCATTGTAATGTGAGATTATACTTTTGGGACCAAACACTGTGCACAGATGGGCTTTGAGGGCTCCTGTGATAACCTCATATTCATGTTCATTGGCAGCATATGTCTCATTGAGTGAGCTGGCTGCAGTGGGAGTTTTGGCATGGACTTCTATGGGAGGAGTAGCATGCCCCTAAATGTAGAGAGTAAGCAAGGCACTCTAATGAAGTTTTCAAACATACCTTCTTTTTACAGTTTGCCCAGATGTGTCTGAGGTTCTTTGGGTGCATCTTCTCTCAAAGAAAACCATGAGTTCTTAGCACACATTAGGAAACACATGGTAATTAACACAAGGTAAATTCCTAGCTTAAGGCAATTTGTAGTTTTCAAAAGAGTTAGCAAGTTGAGGGTAGGTCTACACTACTGCAGTAAGTCCACCTAAGGTACAAGACACTGGTCATGTGATTAACTTAGCTCAACATACCATGGGGTCTATACCATACAGGGCTGATATGAGATACTTTCCCACTGATTTACCTTACTTTTCTCTTTAGAGATAGAGTACAGGGGTCAAATGGAGAGAGATCTACAGTCAGTTTGGCAGATTTTCACTAGATCAACTAAATCAGGGGTGGGAAGCCTTTTTAGGGTCGGGGACCACTGACCCACAGAAAAATCAGTCGGGGACCGCACAGAAGTAAGAAACAAAAACAACAAAAACCCAACCCCACACCACCAACTGAGAAGGAGAAAGACACTCCCCACATTCCCCTTGTACACCAGAGCTTAGGGGGACCCAGGCTAGTAGATTTTGTGTGCTTCAGCTCCATGAGGGGATGCTGCGGAAGCTGGAGCATCAGCACTGGCTCCCCAATGCTGGAGGGAGAGCCCTGAACCTTGGGGGCCTGATGTAGGCAAGCTGAGGGCTACATCCAGCCCAGGGGCCTTAAGTTCCCCACCCCTGTGCTAAATCGGCCACCAGTGCATTGATCTAGTATAGATGTAGCCTAAGATAACAACTTGGGGCAGTCTAGGATTTACCTAGTTTTACTAACTCATGTGAAAATTACAGACTGCCTGATCTTCACTAGGCTTTTACTTCAGTTTAGTTCACTCAAGCTCAGAACGCATCTTTGTTCCTAATGAAGACCACATTTTCAGTGGTTTGTGCCTATTACAGTTATCTACCTGCATTCAGCTTCTTCACTTTCTACATTGTTCCTACAGTCATATGAAGACTCCAAGCCAAACTTCCCCCCTCATACCAGTCAAAGAATTCATATACCACTGCTTGGAATGGGAGTCAGGATTTACTGTGGGAAGGTTTACAGGGATCTTATCTTCTCAGCCCTCTGCAAGGGCTCTATTATCCCATGGATGAACCAGTAATTTACATGGGAAGTTCCCTCCTGCCTTAGCAAGAGGGCAGACTGGGCAGGTACAGTGCTGTGGAGGAATGTTGTAAAGTATGTCAGAAATAAGTTCCTTTTACCCAGCCAGGTGTAAAATACATTCAAATTCTGACAGTGCAATTGCCTAAAATCATAGGCCGTGTCTACACGGGGCCACTTATTCCGGAAAATCAGCCGCTTTTCCGGAATAAGCAGCGAGCTGTCTACACTGGCCCTTGAATTTCCAGTAAAGCAACGATGCTCTACTGTACAAAATCAGCCGCTATTCTGCTGCTCCCGCTCGGGCATAAGTCCTTATTCCGGAACACTGTTCCGGAAACGGGCCAGTGTAGACAGCCCAGTAGTCTTTTCCAGAAAAAAGCCCCGATCGCGAAAATGACGTTTGGGGCTCTTTTCCGGAAAAGCGCGTCTACATTGGCCACAGATGCTTTTCCGGAAAAAGGGCTTTTCTGGAAAAGCATCCTGCCTATGTAGACGCTCTTTTTCCGGAAATACTTATAACGAAAACTATTCTGTTTTAAGCATTTCCGGAAATTCATGCCAGTGTAGACACAGCCACAGTGTGTGTACTGTGAAATTTTTATCTTAACAACAACATGCCCTTTGCCTGTGTTTAAAACACTGCATCTTTTTTTTGCCTTGATGTCCATTCATTACTATGAAGCCAGGGCATTGAGTTCAATGAGAGCAGAATTAGGTCAGTGCTAAATGCTTTTGAAAAAGTGGCTTGGTGGGGATTTTGGGCTGATGGCAAAACTTTCAATGACTACAGGGTTGCAGGCTCAGACTCTTCATGAATAATCCTTAGGCTGGATCTACACTTACAAATTATACTGGTATAGCTACTGTATACAGGGAGAGCTGTGGCGGATAAGGGTGTGATGTTTTACCAACATAGCTATGCTAGCGTAAGCACTAGTGTAGACACAGCTAGCAAACAGAATTATCTCCAAACGTGCCAGTGGCGGTTGTTGTGCACAGCTTTACTGAGGGCCCATAGCAGCTTCTCTAGGCACATGCACATCGCATCACACAGCAACAAGAATAGACACCCTGGTGTTTGTGAACGCTTGCAAACAATTCCTTGCATTTATTATTAGCTGAACTCTTGGATCTCCCTGTTTTTCTAGATGAGAAAGTGGATGGAGTCTATGCATCCATTAATGTGGGTGAATCAGCACCGACTGCAGCATCACTGGACTACAGAGTGCTCTACGACTATACAGCCCAGGTAGGCAAGGGGTTAGAAAGTGAATTCATTGTAATGCATTAGGCTTAAGATAGCTCCTTTGACCCAAAGAGCTCATTCAGTCTCAACACGGCTTGGGGTTAGGTATTATCCTCATTTTATAGACAGGGAAATGGATGGAACAGAGAGTTACTTAGCCAAGGTCGCCTAACGTGTCTGTGGCAGCCAGCAGTTGTGACTCCCAAGGCTCTGCTCTGGCCACTAGGCCATACTGCCTCCAACATAACAGTGCAATGTACCAGCTCATTCAGTTGGCTGTACATTAATGCGTTTCATCAAGAACCATGCTAAACCATCCCAACCCCTGTCTCTGAAAGGGGATGTGAGAGACTCATTCAAAACAGAAGTTTTATACATTCTGACTGATGGTAACTAAATCACCTGCCTTTACAGGAAAATGTGTAAAAATTGTCCCCCACCCAAGTAAGAGAAGTTATTTAAGGCCCTGATCCAGCATCAGGATTTATGGGTATGTCTACACTACCCCGCTAGTTCGAACTAGGAGGATAATGTAGGCATACCGCACTTGCAAATGAAGCCCGGGATTTGAATTTCCCAGGCTTCATTTGCATAAGCGGGGAGCCGCCATTTTTAAATCCCCGCTGGTTCGAACCCCGTGCAGCGCGGCTACACTGGGCTCGAACTAGGTAGTTCGGACTAGGATTCCTATTCCGAACTACCGGTACTACCTAGTTCGAGCCCCGTGTAGCCGCGCTGCACGGGGTTCGAACCAGCGGGGATTTAAAAATGGCCGCTCCCCGCTTATGCAAATGAAGCCCGGGAAATTCAAATCCCGGGCTTCATTTGCAAGTGCGGTATGCCTACATTACCCCCTTAGTTCGAACTAGCAGGGTAATGTAGACATACCCTATGAGTACAAGCACCTATGCCAATGAACCAGCAGGGCTCTACAGAGGGACACACAAGTGGGGCTTGGTATAGGACTAGAATCCAGAACAGCTGAATGGCAGCTGAATGAAGGGCAGGGAATGAAGACGAATATTGTATCCTGTTGCAAAGGAGGTTTAAGGCAGAAGACTATCTGTACTCCAACTGGGACCTTGGCAGAAAGCAGGACTAATTCTCCTACTGGTTTTGCTGAAGAAGACAGTGGGATCAAAATGGTCAGGACCCTGTTTTACAGCTCCCCCATAGCACAGCACCCTCAAATTGGGACAGTCTAGAGCAGGTCAGCAGGAGACAGCACTTTGTGCAGCACCTCAGTTTCCTTTTGTGCTCTCCCATCCAAGTAATGACTCGTTCTGACCCTATTTCACTTGTGAAATTATATGAGCCCACAGCCCAGGGCAGTATGGCTGCAGCTCATGTTATTATAAAACCTTCCCTGGCTTTTATTCACCCTGAAAACAGGAGAGAGAATATTTGACAGGCTCTCTAAAAGTGTTCTCCATTGGACCCCATCCTCAGCTGGAGAATCCTAGCCCAATGTGTAGTCCATAGCAAAGATAGATTGAACAAAAGGATTTCAGCATAAGTCATATTGATTTCCTGTTCATATCAATTGCCAAATACAGCCTGTCTTCTACCTTTGCCTCAGTTTAGTTATGGTTGTGGGTGGGATTTGTAATATAAATAGTTGTATCCTTTTTTCGTTTAAATTACCCCTCCCAGAGGCACTTTTTAAATGGAGCTGAAATGCTACTATGAGACCTGGCTTTGTCACGCTGCTCCAGTTCCTGTGTGGTGGAAATACTATGAGCTTGTATTATTCTAGCTGCATTCAACAGATCCATGAAGAGGAAAAACACATGCATTAGTGAAAAAGCCACTGCGACAACACACACGCACTTCGACAGTCATGTGGAGTCAGATGGCACTGCCCTTCCCTGCATTTCTCCCCATGTTATTATCCTATGCCCTGTTGATTGTTTCTGACAAATGCCAGTCCTAGCACAGGCCCCGTGGGCAACTAGCAAAGAGCTTAGGTTGACATGCTCACTCAATCTGAAGATACTGCTGATGAGCAAGAACTAGGGTATGGTTATATTCCTGACTTCAGACCTAATTAAGTTAGATATGAATAAAGTCACAACACAGACTAGCTGACTTGCTAAAGCAAGAGTTTACTAACAACATTTGCATATATAGATTTGAGTGTGCTTTACAAAAGAGGTATACAACCTCCCCTCTTTAGAGATTAGACTGCCAAAGCATCCACACAGGCTTTAGTCATATGACTGCCCTTAATACCCCTACACATGAAACACAGCAGTATAGGAACAAGGAGTCCAGTGGCACTTTAAAGAGTAACACATTTATTAGGGTATTAGAGCATCAGCTTTTGTGAGCTCATGAAATCTTAAGCTCCAATACCGTAATAAATTCGTTAGTCTTTAAAGTGCTACTGGACACTGTTTTGGTTTTACTGACACAGACCAAGGGCTTGTCTTCACTACACAGAAGATTGCTGCTGCCACAATCAATCTTTCGGAGTTCGATTTAGTGAGCCTGCTTAAGACTTGTTAAATCAAACTCGGAGGGTGCCCCTACTGGCATCCGGTACTCCTCCTTTAGCGAGGAGTAAGGGAAGCAGATGGGAGCATTTGCTTCCGTTGGCCTCCCACTATGGGGACACCACCAAACTCAGCTTAAGCTAAACCAACTCCAGCTATGTGGAAGACAGTTGCAGACTTTAAACCAGGCTAGTGTAGACCTGGCCTAACATGGCTGCCTCTCTGAAAGAAATATAGGAGTCATCCTACTGGCCACAACCATTTAGGCCACTCTTCTATCTCTGACCGTGGCCTGATGTTGCAAAGTATGGTGTAAGAAGCCTCACAGTAAACAGAGGTGGGCTATCATCCCAGTCCCTAATAGTAAGAGATTGGTTTACATGAGGTTTTACCTCCCTTCCAATACTCTTTTCCTTGGTGTGAAATATGAATACTTTTACTATCCATATAAATGGCCAAGCTATCTCTGAATTTTGCTCATTCTTGGCTTATAGAAACATCCTCTGGCAAAGAGTTCCACAGTCGAACTATGGGCTGTTTGATGAACAATACTTCCTTTTATTAGTTTTGAATGGGCCACCTGTCAGCTCCATTGAAAGCCTTCTTGTTCTGTGTTACAAGACCCACGTTGAAAACATGATGCTTAGGAGACTTCGTAAGAGGGTTTGCATTAGTCAAATTCCACTTTGGAGTTAGTAGACTGTGGGACACATCCAGACAATGAGATACTTATGAACAGATCTTTTTTTACTCGTTGTTGTTTTATCTGGACCTTATCTATCCCTTGACCATGAAATTTGGATCCTGACCAATAATAATTGACTATTCCTGTTTTAACTGAAGTCAAACAAAGCAGGGTTCTCAGTGGGGTAGCCCTGTTAGTCTGTAATTTTAAAAACAAGTAGTCCTGTGGCACCTTACAGACTAACATACATATAGTATCATGAGCCAGAACTGGAAGAGGAAAGGCTCTAGCCCTGCCGTTTCCCTTGCAGCTCAGCCCCTGGCCCCTTGTCCCTATTTGGTGTTTTAGGGAGGGGCCATTTATGCCCCTCCCGCACATTGCCCCTGTGGGGGGAGTCACGGTTAGGGCAGGCTTATATGTCAAAGATACAGTTTTTTACGTGACACTGGCTGCATGACACTGGTGCTTTAGTGAAGATGCTGCTGTGCTGATGGGAGAGTCCTGTGACCGCTTTCATGGCAAATTAAGCATTGCCCAGTAGCGTTGTTAATCCACCTATGTGAGCGGCATTAGCTAGATCAGTGGGAGAACTCTGCCATTAACATAGCACTGGGTGATATCTGCGTTGCTCTTTCATATCCGCACGTGACGTAATTATACCAATGTACGTTTATCGCGTAAAACTTGCCTTAGTCCCTTCTGGCAAAGGATGTCCCTAGGGTACAAGAGCTAATCTGCATGGGGAGTGAATGCACAATGGGTACTCTTCTGGTGCATGCTAGAGATCTTCAGGAGATGGGAAGAAATTTGAGAGCCCCAGTATGACCAGCTCAGTAAAAATGGAGCCATACGCTGTCCGATATTTCAGATTCATTATCACAGTGACAAAGCTCTGCTTGAGGCCCATAAGAGCAAGGGAAAAACCCAGACAAGACACAGATGAGTCTGAGTACTCAGGCTAACCAAATTTCTACTCCCTCTGTTGGGTGTTTCCTTTTAGAACGACGATGAGCTGGATATCAGTGCGGGAGACATCGTAGCGGTCATTGCAGAAGGCGAGGATGGCTGGTGGACAGCAGAAAGGAATGGTCAACAAGGATTTGTGCCAGGGTCTTACCTTGAAAAGCTTTGATGAAAAGTTGCATCTGCTTTAAGACCTTAAAAATGCCTTCATCTCTAAAATGGCACACGGTCAGGCACAGCTCAGCAAGGGGAGCCCATAGCATTGTCTTCTAAGATTATTACTTGGGGCTAATAAATTGTCCGTGCCTTTTTCTTTAGGCCTTTCTTTCCACACTGGAGTTTTCCCAGAGAGACTGTGGTGATTTCCTTCTTACAAAAGCTTTTATCCCTTTGACTGTCCCTTAAATGTTGCATTGAACGCATTCCATCGCTGCCTCAAAGCTATGACAAGTACGGAAAAACACACCCCCCCCAACAAATATTACTTACAAAATGGACAATGAGAAATGTCCCTCGGTACTTCTGAATCACCTCCTGCTGGGATTTTGAGACACTTTTGTGGTAACAGTCATATTCTCTCTGATCTCTTCCTTTTTCTGCATGGGAAGAATAGACATCTTTGACAGCAATGTGGACTTTGGCGGGGGGTGTACATATACGGTGCTCAGGTGATGGTGCACATAGCAGGGTCTTAGCTATACAACATGAGACAGAACTTCATGCAGCTCCCCCACACTGCATGGGCATCCCAGGAGAAATAGGTAAGATTCCTCACCTATTTTATCATCAGACAGCAATGATGACAAATCCTAAAGACATTTAAAGAGCATTCAAAGGATTGTGCCATGCCCTGGGAGAAGAAAACATAAGCCCTCCATCCCACTCCACCACCAACCCCAAGTCCTCTACGGCCCTTGGCCCAACGGCAAAGAGATGAGGCTATAGCACGACCTTAATCTTTATTAGCCATTGGCTTACTTGATGGATTGTGTCAGACCCTCGCTATGATTTGTCATGTTTAAAAATAAAGTAAGTCAAGGCTGTCACAGGAGCTGCATTATCCAAACTTGCCTGTTGCAAGCTCATCAGGAAGCTGCCAATCATTTGCTAGACTTCATGTAGTTGTCCTATGTTACCTGATTTAACCTCTGCCCATCCCATTTCCCAGACCACATGATTGTCTACTTACCTCTTTCCAATGCCCTTCCCCTACAGTGGTTCCCAACTTCTTTATACCGAGAACCAGCAAACTCATTCAAAAACTTTTGGTGGACCGGCAGGGAAACATTTGCATATTCATTGTGGCAATTAATTTATTTGCATAGTCATTGTAGTAATTAATTTTAAGCAGTCACGTGTTATTTTACATTGCATCTGTACACATACTATACATGTCATTGCGTGGATGGGAAGATCAAAATCACACATTATGAAACAGATGGCATGCTCTGCAGAATATTTCTGGTTTTCACTGTTTTTTGGAGAGAGGCAAAGGCAGGGGCAGATGACAGTTTTGCGGGGCCCTGGGCAGCGTAAGTCCGCGGGGCCCCCCCTTTGCCACGGGGCTTTTTGAAGCACGGGGCCCGGGGCGGCTACCCCTTTCGACCTGCCCTATATCCGCCCCTGGGCAAAGGGGTACAGCAGGCAGGGCAGGAGAGGGGGAGTTGTGGCAAAAAGGAAAAAGAAAGAGAAAAGAAAAGAGGGATCAGGCTGGGGAGAGGCTGGGCTGAAAGCAGCAAGGTACTGACTCTGGCTCGGAGAGATTCTCCAGCCTTGTCCCCTCACCCCACCCTGAGTAGTGGCGGTCCCTTCTCAATCCCCGCTGCCATGCCAGGGCGTCCTCCTGGGTGGCCCTGTTCCATGCGACCTGTTCGTCACCGGAGCAGCCCCAGCCCCCTGCCATGTGGCCCAACCAGCCCTGGAGCAGCCCCAGCCCCCTAGAGGAATCCCGCTCCACCACATGGCCCAGCCACCCCAAAGCAGCCCCGGCGGGGGGGCCCCCCCCTGTGGCTGGCCCAGGCACCCCAGAGCAGCCCCACCCTCCGGAGCAACCACCCACCATGTGGCCCCACTGCCAGGTCGTGAGGCTGCCCCAGAGCTGGAATCAAGGCTGTGATGAGGCTACACAGTAGGGACGCCTCACCGGGGCCCAGCTCCAGCCTCAGCACACGACTGGGGGTGTGGCCTGGCAGAGCGCCACAGCCCGGCAGGCAGGGCTCACGGCCTGCCACCACTGCATGACAGTTTCCAGACCATTCCATTCCTAGCCTCTGCACCTCAGACCATTGCCATGGGCCTGACCTTTCCTCCCTCCCTGACACTCACACTTTGCAAAAGTCTTATAAGTAAAGCTAGTTATTTTGTACATCGGAGATCAATTTCTTCACTAGTTCCTAGTCTATCAGGTCTATTTCCTATCCAAAATCCACAATATTTACTCAGACCCCATAAGATCTTCCTGGAACATTTAGTACCACAACACAAACCTCCATTTGCTTGGGGGAACACTACTTCCTAGGGACCAAATCTAAAATTTCAGATTTTGAATCAAAATCAAGTCAAATTAAAGCATAAATAATCAACATAAACAAGTACATTTTTAAAGTGGGGAGGTATTGTGTGTGTGGAGTGAGGATTATGAAGCCAGAAAGAAATGTTGAGGGACTGGTCCAGCATCCTAGTCAACAGGCCTGTAGCATGTTAATGAACTAGTTGAGCCCAGGAAACCCACAGTAGATTTCATTTTATTTCTGTGCTGGGAAACCAAGGAGTGCAGGCTTTTTGGGGATCCTCATTTTGTAGATGATTTCAGTAAAAAAAAAAAAAAAGTTTCCCTCAAGATCTTGTCTGATCTGCTAAGATATATAACACCAGGATTCAGTTAAGATCACACACCTCTGAGAACACAGGGAGCTTCACCAAGCATTTGAGCACCAGTCCTGTATGCTATATTGTCTGCAGAATCCCTTACTGTGTGTGAGCTATTACCTGCAGCTCTGATCATGAGGTCATAACCAGATTTGTAACCATAACCAAGAGCTTCTTGCCATCCCATAAAAGCACTTCATAATTTGCAATCTCCCCCAGTCATTCCTTGACTAAGTGACAAATTATAGACTGAAGAGGTTATGTATGTCGTTATTTATAATGTGCCCATCACTATCTGGGCACAGGGTGTGAATTTGGGATTGCTCTGGAGGTAGAAAGGCAGCAGCAGCGTTCTCATAATTTATCTTCTCTGCTTTAGAGTCAAGGGCTTGGCTGATAACTGATTACAAAAATATTTGTAACTATGCAGTTCCCTATCAGCCTGGGTAGCATGTGTCAGAAATAGGACACTGAGGAGTGCATCAAAATATCCCCGCCCTCTGAGCACATTCAGTTTCTAAGAATCACCCACTTAGAGTGGCCTAAATAAGATTGCTGCAGTAGGCTGGAGACAGAGTCTCACCAGAGTTGTGCAAAGCTTTCACGGCAAAAGACACTCTTCAAAAAGGGTGATACTTCACATATGATTGTGAAATTGCATATTGCCCTATTTGCAGCGATGCACTGAAATGGGTCATATCCAGTAAAAGTCAGGCTTCATGTTTTGGCAGTTTTTTTTTTTTTAAAGAAGTTGGTCCCAAAAGAGAGGTTGTGTCAAAAAGATGTTTTTCCCCTTCTCAAACAAAAATTAAACAAAAATCCTTGATTAATAAAAAAAAAAAAACATTCCCCTAGGAAAAGGGGAAAAGAATACCAAAAGAAAAAGAGAAAATAAAAAAAGACTTTCACTGAGCACAAACTAACACTGACTTTTTCAACTGGGAAACAGTCAATGAGTGAGAAAGTGGAGCATATCCTATCTTCCACCAATTTAATTTTTTCCCAACTGGAAAAAATGGAAAAAAATAAAGTAAAAAACTGGGAGACAAGTACCTTTTCCCCCACAAAGTTTTCCTTTAGGAACACAGTTATTTTCCAGATGGAAAAATTTCCAAATGGGATTGTCCCCTCATACATTCCTGATAGTAAACTGCCCTTTTCTGCCCATTTTTGTTCACCATCTTCTCTCTGCCAGTTAAACTTTAAAGCATCTAGTTGAACTGTTCTGGACTGTTACATTTCTGGTTTCATCTAGACACAACACTATCAACTAGGCTGGCTCCCACCAACAGGAGGTACCAAAACAACAACTATTGACAAGGCTGTATAGTTTCAGTGTAAACTTTAATTTCATGGGACACTTGCAGCCAGCAGCACTTTTCATCATGGTCTGACTGGGACGGAGTGCATGAAACTGTTCTCAGAGCTGCAGGATGAGAAATACCCAACATTCACGCTTTTGTCCACAGCTTCACTAGAGAGAAACTGGCAGTAGCACTATCACAACCTTTATCTGATGAGCATGGAGAGAATGAGTAAAGGGCAGGTGTGTAATACATGCACAGAGGGAGTTAGATTGTCCTCCAGAGGGTGGAGTTCTGTTTGCACAATATACTATTATTTATTTTCTGGGCAGGCACTCTCACACCTGTAATCATTAACTATAGCTACCTTTAGAGTGGGGGCCCAGTTAGTTTGTAACTTGAAAAACTTAAACAACCAATAGTCTAGCAGCACCTTAAAGACTAACAAAATAGCTACAACTACGTGTTTCGTTAGCCTTTAAGGTGCTGCTAGACTATTGGTTGTTTGTTAAGTTTTTCCAGTTACAGACTAACTTGGCTACCTCCTGAAGCTTTTGACGATGCAGTTAGCCAAGCAAGCTCATGGGGAGGAGCACAGTTTTACCATAAGTATGGTGACCATGGTCTCTGGACCAAAATAGGGACACTTTAGCCACACCCTCTGACCTCATTAGCCATGCCCGCTAATCCCTTATGTCATACCCACCTAGCACATGAAGTCCCACCCCTGAAGGTAGTACTTCCGGGGTCAAAACGTACACAACTGGAAGTAAAGGGTGTTGTGTGACCCCTCTAAAAGGCCCCAAAGAACCTTCCCATGCAACTATACTGAAATTGCGTTAATCCACCTTGCACTTCATTCACTCGGGGAGAGAGGATGGGAGTGCTTCTATTTCAATGGTTCTCAATCTTTTTGGCCCATGAACCACATGGCTCAATGTAAACCTGTTCGTAGGCCACCAGCTGCTAATGGAAACTCGCTGTTAATTACATAACTGCACCCAAGCCATTTTCTTAGTGCTGCAGCTAGAGAGAACAGTTTAAATTAGTAAACAGATTAAGCGTTTTAAGTTTCTCATGTTAGTTTATCAAATTTCATTTTAAATAAAGTAAAATAATTTATGTCCCACAAAACGTCCCAATGTTTTCTTTATAGCAGGGGTGGGCAACCTTTTTTGGGTTGGGGCCATGAATCACAGAAAAATCAGTTGGGGATCACACAAGCAGGAAACAAAAGTTCTCCTGCCCGACCCCCAAAGCTCACTATGGCCCCCAACTAAGACACCTCACTCCTCTGTTGCTCCAGCCCCACAGGCCGAGGGGAAGGGA